GTTTACCAAGAAATATAAATGCCATAAATAAACACCGACCCCCATTACCGAGCCCTTTTAATATATGGTTAGAATTAGTTGCAAAATCAGAGAATTATCCTTTTATTTACATTTTTTTTTTAAAATTTGTGTATGATAATGCCTTTGAATAATCGGCAGCAAGGTGCTGCCTGTCACTGATATAGCCCTTAATAATTACTATAACAATGGCAGTCGTGTCTAAAATGATACATGGAGTTACGTAAATAAAAAGAGATCCATTTAATAGTATTTTGTTTGTGTGTATCGCTGGGCTTGCGCCACGCGGACGATGCCGCACCCTTCGCGGCCGCCAGCGTTGCCCGTCTTGAGGCTCTCGGCGTCCCCGCCGCGCCCCAGGTCGTCCTCGCCGGCGTGGATGACGAAGGCGAGCCCGCCGATGTATACCGGAGAGTTCCAGTCCAGGGAAATGTGCCTGTCAAATAAGGAGATGCGAGCCACGCCGTTGTAGTCGGCGATGACGTTGCCCAAGTCGCCGGCGTGGCGGTGGAAGTCCAAGGGGCTGCCGTGGTTTTTCTGCGGGAAAGGGAGTTTGGTCACGAACCGAGGCTTGCAACGCAACACAAAAAAGGTGTGTGGGCGTGTGTTAGGCTTGGTGCGAACGGAACTCACCATGAAAACGGGTAATAAATATTATGATTCATGACCACTTATATATTTACATTATATTATATCCAACGCCATGAAAAAAAAAAACATAATAAAATTACTGGACTTATTTCTCACACACTGACAGATAAAGGTGATGTCTAATAAAATGGCCTTATTGTTTCTCGAGCCATAAAGTGTCATCCGGCATATCTTTGGACATATAACAATGAAAGCATAATTGTGAACACAGTAGCGAGAATTCAAGCTATGTGAAGGCTGCACCAGTTTTCTTTCTTTTTAAACGATATTTACAAACCAAGCCCCGTTCTGTGTGCCACGGTATCCAGCGCGTAGACACGCCACTTAAGCGCCAGGTGAACCCCGGCTTTGATAAGGAATGACAACAAACGGCTGAGACGTCTGCGTAACGTAAACAGACAAGAGCGGGAATAGTTGCGCGTGCAGGTGAGTCAGCGCGAGGCAGGTTAAGAGCTTTTGCGGGGCCAAGGCGTCCGAAGAATGGAAGCCGCAGTGCCTGTCGGTGCCAGGCGGAGGAAGTGCGTGACAGCAGTGCCGCGTGACTCACTGTGGCCACTACAAAAGCCCGTGAAATTGATTATCTTCGCTGACATCTTTCTCCGCTGCCAAACTGAGGGCCAGGAACAAACATTGGCTGATTACCAGTATTATCAACCCATTTCTCATAACTGTGTTTCATTTACATCGACGTGCCTACTGTTTCATTAAAGCCCTCGTGACTATTTTTGACAAACAGCATATAACAGACGTAACATTATTTTTAAAACATGAGCGAGACTATAACAGAAAGGGCGAGTGTACCTTCCTTGCGACAGGATTAGTCTTTTCGTCCTTGTCTATTTTGGCTCATAAAGTGTCTCCTGATGCTGGCAGGGCCACAGGTTGAGGCCGTGCTACTGCTTCTGTGCTTTTGCTGAGATTTTCCTTATAAAACCATTGACTTTGTACGTGTGCGTGTGTATGTGTGGGCATGTACGCGTGCGCACGCATGTGTGTGTACCTTTCTGCGTTTTTATCGTTCTGCTCGTCTGCCTGTCCATTCATACATGCGGCTATATTTGAATAGACATAACCCTACGAGAGCGCCCGAAGAAAGCCCCGGAGTCGCCTCCTCGGGAAAGTGAAAGGCAGAAATTCCGATTCAAGCGTCAAGTGTCACCAAAACAAGCGCGTCACGGTGGAAATAGCATCCTATATGTGTTATTTTCCTTCCTTCCTGAAGATGGCACTCATGCGTAAAATATGAACACAGTTTTTTTTATTAATCTATATAAGATCACACAGATACCCAATGTGTGCCATAGACGCAGTCTCTAAACCGAACTGCAGCTGCCTCCTTTTCAATCATCTAAGAGGCTCATTCATGCCTTCTTTCCCTTTTACACATTTGTAGCTTCAAATAAATTTCCATGAACCAGTTTTCCTTTACAATATGAGTTGCTTACAAGGACGTCCATGCCTTTTATTTATATGTAGATTAAATAATTAGAAAAAAAATGGTCGGAATGCTACAAAGGTCACTGCAGGAAGGAGCAGAACAACGACAAAACAGAAGCCCTTCACGCTGAGTGAGGAAATGTGTCTTTCCGACAGACTATGGTCGTGTATGTGTCCTTGCATTGTCAAAAGAGGCAACCTGACCACGAACAGGGAGTGTGAAGCAGAATGAGCGCTCGGTAATTGACTTTTGTCACTCTTTGATAAGTTGACTTTTAACCTATAAGAAGCAAATATGAATTACGGGTTGCAATTACATGAAGTAAAAAGCCACTAGGACCTTCGCATCTCATTTCAAGGCACCCATAAAAAAATTGGATCTTCTCCAATATAT